AGACACACACACACACATGACATGGCCGATGTGAACATAACTCGGGGCCTCCTTCCTGATGTCAGAAAGGCTCGGGGTTCTGGGGAGCGGCGAAGATAAAGCCCAAAGTTCGAAGAGGGGCTTCAGGACCAAATAATTAAATTTGGCATGCTGCATGCTTGCGGTTCCTGTGCTGGCAGGATCCTTCCACTGCATGAGGGCATGATGGTCAAGCAATCGTCGGCGTAGGACCTCATCGGCCTCCCACCGCTCTGCCAAACCGCCCAGGGAGTTCCCCACCATGTTTCTGATGCCTTCTAAACTACACTAGGCAGGCTGCCGTGCTCATGCCATTGAGCCCCCAACAAGTATGTCAGCTTTCACAGAAACATGCAGCACAACATCAGAAATTCATGCTGCTCTAACTGCTCTATACAGCCGATCTACCAGGACAGTTGGCGCTGCACTGACGACGTCGATGAGGCCAGGGCCCTTACATAGGTTCCACCGGCAGCCATCGTAGGAGGAGCATGTACCTGCGCACAGCGTGCATGCCCTGTGGAGTGATGCTCCTATCATGGCCACCACAGCTCCGAGCACTCATGCACTTGCACATTTCTAGCCGTTTGCACGAAAGCTGCCAGCTGAATCTAGACTTCGGAACATCTGCAGGAACCTGTATCCACAATACAATCACTACAGTCCTCTGCTCCGGCACAGGTGCTTCTGCAGCACTTCAACGGTCCACTGAGCTGCCGGACAGCTCACCATCCGCCGACGATGATGTCACCTCGGGTTTCACACTTTATGCTTTAACATTTAGAATGGGTCAGCCTCCGATTCAGGACATACCAGCCACCCCAAACTTCAACTCTATAAAGTTAAGGCTCCATGGTTTCCTCACCTCGGGGTTGCATGTACTCATGTGCATCATTATTGGTATGTGTGGAGAATGTACAGACTGGGCCAGACATGTGGAGTGCAACCCAAGCAACGTTTCCTCCGAATTTGCCGGGCCAGATGGCGAGCCACACCCATATTTCCTTGGAATAGCCAGTAGGCTGAAGAACCGAGTTTTGGTAACTCCCAATAGATACAATCCAAGCTTCTGTAATTTTTCACGATCTGTTCAACTCTGCATATGGTGAGCTCAGTCTCCTTCAGGGATATGGTAACGAGCTAAAGTTCTTAGGTTCTCGCAACACCCTGGCCTTGGAATCGGGGTACATGACAAGAACGACATCGAACCAATAGGAAGGCGGCATGCTCCAGAGACCTGGGACATTAACATCCTAAAGGATTTTGTGCATGGTTGCGACTATCCTGAGATGCACCGGGCAACAAGTGCATGTCATCTTTCTATAGACCTGGGGCATCGGCCTAAATCACGTACATCCTGCTCCAGCCGTGGGCGGGATTCTAGCAGCTTTTCCAGCAACTTATCTCCCATGGCTGCCAGCTAGGACCCCGAACCTTTGAGCACAACTGACGGATAGGAGCAGCTTCGTTTATGCATCTATGCAGATGTAACAAGAACCAATCCTGCATGTTGCAAATCGCACATCTTGGTAAGCACTGGGGCACGCTTTGACGAGCTTCAGCCACCGATTGGCCCGGAATCGTGCATAACCATCGACAAAGGCCGGTGATTGAACGAAAAAGTGCTCTCCAACTCTGTCTCATGGCAGTATCTATTCCCGACATGTCGAGTCTGATTGTTGATTCTATCATGGACAAATTGTGGCGATTCGGAGCCACAAACCTGGCGTTGCCTGGCATACAAGGCATGTTTCTGCAATCGCAACCCACGAATAGCCCTCGAAAGTCATAATCAGGCGCTGGGGCTATTTTCGGGCTGGAGGCTATTCATAGATCAGATCAGGGGCCTATACAGCCTTGGCTAATTTATTGGCCTTTCTAGAAGTCCAGGTAGGGCCTAGGGCTTATAGGGTTTAGGGTTTTGGGTTTGGGGTTTGGGGTTTAGGCTTTTATAGGGTTTAGGGTTTTGAGTTTTGGGCCTTGGGTTTAGGGCTCATTATGAGTTGATTGAGTCTCCGATTTGGGCTTGCATTCTCACATGCACTGATTCTTCATGCTCAACCGCCAGAAGAGATTAAAACCTCAGGGTCCTGACGTGCGGTGGGTCCTTGCCTCCTCCACTGATGCCTTGGGCCTAGGGTTTAGGGTTTAGTTAGGGGCTTTTTGGCAGGTGTCCATGTGACAGTCCCGCAGAGGGAGCCTCAATCCATCGCCTCCTTTTTTGGCTTATCGAACCCCAAACCCTAAACCCTAAGCCTTACCGTCCGTCTTCATGACTGTACTGGCAGCTTTGACTGCCTTTCACCAAGGTAGAGGTAGCAAAGATGCTGCTTGAGTTGGGCGCCGAGCTGCGGCGCGTGTCCCGCTCTCAGCTTTACATGGGGCCCAAAGTAAGCAGACGAACATAAGGGTCCTGTAAGAGCTTTGTGCGCGTCACTAGTTTCGGGGGGCGGATGAAATCAAGAGATGAGAATCTGACGGTGAACGTAGAGTGCTGGCTTGTAAACTTTAGGGGCACAGGCAAACTCGGGGGCGCACACTCCTAGCAGCAGCCTATCCATCACGGCTTCCTGCGGCAGCTCCTCCATCGAGGGATGCTGGTCTTCGCGCATAGTCTAGCCGCCTATTGGGTCACTTGGGATGAAGAGTAATGTAGATACATAAGGTAGATATCATGCGAACGATGCTGCCCAGATGCGTTCTCCAAGGGTGGTGGTGGTAGACGGGCCCACCGATCTGCAGCGCAGCGGCGCTTTGTGGTTAGAAGCCCGTCGATCGCAGGGCCTCGCTGTTCAAGAGGTAGCTGTCACAGCAGGCAAAAACCCGGGCCGATACGAGCCTGACTAGCAGAGAAGGTAATCTTTCACTTTTTTGTTCAGGTGGTGGGGGGAGGGGGGTGTAATATACTCCCAATAGTATACCCGCGTATAACCCCTATGCAATCCCGAAGCGTAGCCTCTGGTTCCCCAAACCCAGGAATTTCGAGACTACGACCTGCCCTTCTGCAAAGCAGGCTCGGCACAGCTGAGCAGCTTCCTGACTCTCGTATGACAAGAAGCGAGTTGAGGGCTCAGGGTTTAGTGTTTCATGGTTTGAGGAATAGAAGCATTAAGGGTTTACGACTAAGGGTTTAGGGTGTAGAAAATATATGAGCATCTTAGGGTTTGGGGTGTAGGCTTCGGGAAGGATTATGAGCACCCACCTAGCAGATCACTCGGAGTTTGATAGTTCCTCTGATAGTTGAGGGTTTGGGCGTTTGGGCAACGTGCCGGGCCATGCAAGAAGCATTTCCAGTCAAGCATGCAGCTGCATCCATGCGCTTCGCGGTCAAATGCCAAGGAAAGTGCCGGCTGGGAGGTGCCATGTGGTGCTTTCCAAAGTCTAGTTGAAACCCTTGGCATCCTAAGCTCAAACCCGAAGTCCGTGAACCACCACCCCTGGAGGTGTCATGTGATGATCTGCAAAAGAAGTGAACTGCAGTTCATACGATCTGCCATGAAAGATCTGGCGTCATCACAGCCTCCAATCGACCTCATGATCTATGAGGACGCCCTGAAAACCACAGCGACCCTGGCGATTCTCGGCACGGCCAGGCCAACTTCTCTTGAGACAGGGACAACAACAGACATTAATATGTTTCGAGATAGAGAGAGACAGAGAGAGAGAGAGATAGATAGAGAAGACAGCAACCAGGAAACACCATAAGCAAAGAAATATGTATGACACGGATAGAGGATAGAGAGGGAGAGAGAGACAGGGACGGGGGGGGGGGACGGAGGAAAGGGAAAAGAGAAGGAGCATGCGTTGACCGTACCCTGAAGAGGATGTAAATATTCACGAAGTTAGTGCTACAGTTATTTACACCTGCATAAACATATGTGATCATGTGCATACGGCATACATGCTACCACATACAGCAACATCCAGATGCACGAACTTGCACACATGCGCATGCACTCACTCACACACTCACCCGTGCATGCGCACAACACACACACACAGAGGCATGCATACAGATGCACAGCCACATGTTTCTGAATTGTTATGTCTTTATAAACACAACCGAATAGGCAAATGGATTTAACAGACAAATCTATATCTATATATATATATAGATGTATGTATGTATGTATGTATGTATGTATGTATGCATGTATGTATGCATGCATGCATGGATGGATGTATGTATGTACCTACACACATGTACACACACAGGTATATATTTTTATATTTGAATGTATGTTCATATATGTTCACTTCTGTATGTTGATCTAGTACCTTATATATATATACATACATACATACATACATACATACATACACATGTATCTGCTTAAGAAGACAAATTCAATAGTTCTGGGTCATTGCCCTGCTGCAGCAACGGAGCTGGGTTCTCCTTTCCGGTTTTTTCGTGCACGCAAGGACAGGGGAGCTGACTCGGTACATCTTGGACGACTCGTTCCTTCCGGCGAAGAGACTCGTCGCATGACAGCATCCGACCTTCGGTCACGGTTTAGGGTTTAGGTTTAGGTGTACTTATCCACGTCACTGTTCGGTACACGTGGACCCCTTATCAGTATCACATGTCGACTCATGCGGTCTTGAGTCTCTGCTTCGGCTGCGAGTGTCTTCTTGGTTCCCTGACTCACAATCATTACGTGAAGCGTCGCTCTTGTGACTGTCATCTTTACAGCGACACGTCTATGCATCGGCTTCCTGTACCGAACTACGCGCTCTACATACGGGTCTTGTCTCATTCAATGGCATAGAAGCCTTGGGCGTTGAGTATGGCGTCCGGGATCACGCTCGTGATTGATTCTGTCGCAACGGAAATGTCTTCGAATCGGTCATGCCGTAGTAGTTGCCTGGGCTGAACATGTCTATACTCCATTGTTTACATATCAGGAACTGGTGACCCTGGGGTCCAGCCTATTTCTGCCAGTCAAGCTTGGGCCGAAAGCCAACAAGACATGTAGGATCGGCTATATAGGACTATACCCAGAGACTCCAAAACCCCGTAATTAAGGAATAGACCTTAAATTTAATAAGAACCCTACTCAGATTTAAGGTATATTGAGAGAGGGTTATCCAGCTCGCCAGGTGTTTCTGACAAGCTTGACGTCGCGAGCAGCAGCCGACTTATGCCAGGGCATGATCCGAAGCCGCAGAACCTGTACGAACATGGCGACGCAGTGTCTCTGCCTGACCCTAACCCTCCACGTACCTACTTTTTGGGGCCCTAGGGCTCTAGCACCCTTTGTAGTAGGTACCTGGGCGGGTTAGGTGAGTTTATGCTTGCATGCAATTCTGGTCACTGGATTGACCCTGCGAAGACGGATGCCTGTACACATGTCGCATGCAGCTGCGCAGCAGTCACTTTTCACAAATCAGTACTTCGAAACTTATTCTACATAGTCGGACTTGAAACGGATGGCAAGCAGCGCATTCCAACAAAGCTTGCAGAGGTACACAGCTGTCATTGAGGGTCTTGAC